GAATCGTTGCTGGTGACTGGTCACATGCTGCCAAGATTCTTCCGAGAAGGTCCTACATGTTCTATGAGATTTAGGCCTGTGGATCTTGCAGGCTAATCCGTGTGTTGAATATCTTTACTCTCCAAGAGTTCTGGGACAGTCACTGTACGATGAGGTGTAGCATTGCCGTCCATGAACAGAAAATTCGGACCTTTTTTACTAACCACCAAACTGACTCGACCTAAGCTACCACTGCGCATCGGTCATGTCGCACTACTAAACCACTGAGCTCAACTAGCACGCCTCTTATTACGTAGTCCCCCATTTTCACTGGCGACTTGATATATGTTTCTGGTGACATCGTCAGGAACCGGCGTCTTAGGAGACCGATGAAAGACGGGGTAGTCGGACTACGCACACTTATTCGCTGACGTCTGTCGACCGTATCACCCTCCCCCGATTCCCAATATCAACAACTCGATCGATCCTCCAACTGCTACGACGACCGATCGCATAGCCCACTGACTCCTGACATCAATAAATCGATCTTCCAACTGCTACGATCTCCAACAATATATATCTCATCAACTAAATCAAGTGCTATCGGTAAGTATTTTTAGAGGTTAGAAAAACAAGCCGTACTTTCTATTGTTTACAATAGTTTAATTCTTTATTAAAATTACTCAAATTTCCTAAATTTAACTTTATTTAGAATCCTTCCAAATGAATGACAGGAAAACAAGTTGTAAATTTAATGACGATATGGTAAAAAATTTCCATTTAAAAATTGAATCTAATGTTAACTACATACCATGCAATTAAATATTTTCAATTACTTTCGGTAGACGAAATGACGTTACGCGACAGCTTGACTCCCCAAAACATAAGAAGGAGAATCAAGCAATAACATCTTTCCATAGTGTAACGCAATATTTTCGCGAAATCGAATTTGATGACGAGGAATGACAGCTTGTATGGTTTATGTTAAATTTTCTAACAGTTAATCTTTAGTTAAAAGTTACTTTCCTATATTCCTATTTCCACTTACAACGTTAAATTTTCTAACAGTTAATCTTTAGTTACAAGTTACTTTCCTATATTCCTATTTTCCACTTACGTACTTTCAGAATCACGTTTGAATGCAAATGAGGAAAAGTATTTAACTGGGAAGTTCTACTGACTTCGTGAGAGAGCCAGTGATTCTGACTAGTGCGCGTTCGCCGTTTTAGGCTACTATCTCTCTTAAGCTATTATAACGCTCGGCCGTACTTTAGGCCCTTGATAGCTTCGCCGTTATTTAGCATTAAGTGGCCAACTCTGTTCGGCTATATCTTTTTAATTAAGATTAATTAAGTTTTAGTTCTTAGTTTCCTGAGTTCAAGCCGAAGTGGAGGTTTTTATTGTAACTCCAAGTAAGGAGTCATCTGTTAAACTTTATTTGGAATAATAATGGGTAATTTAACCCTTTCCATGTTTTGTTCTCTGTCTCAGGAACTCAAGCGATTATTCGCTTATCAGTTCTTAAGGTTCCTAAACTTTAGATTGAAATACTTAGGAATCTTACAAGCTCAAGCAGACTGATTCAAGCAGTATTTTCATTCCACACAATAGCGCACATCAGTCGTTTAATTCTACGGATTATACGTCAAAATTAACCAATGTATTTTTTGAAAAGAATATTGCGCGTACAAAACCTGAGGCAACAGTTAAAAAAATAAACGTCTTCACAATCTCCTCTCTGTAAATCAAATTAGAAAACGCTCGCTTTATAACCACTTACACATATACTATATAAAACTCAAAGATTCCTATTCTCGTTAAACATTTTGATCATAATGATAGTGTTCAAGTTAAAATTCTAGCTTTAATCACTCTTCCCGACAAAGGGCCGAAAATAATCACGAAGTCCATTATTGATACGTTCAATAATGGACTGGATTCAAACAATGGATTCAAACAATGTGACAAATAAGCTGGTGGAATATTGTGTAGATAACCCAAATTTAAATTTTAGATGTATTAGTAGAAAACGAACAAATAAGGTATTTTCCCGAATGAATAATCAATTAAATCTCTCAATAATTGGAATAGATGCGTAGCACACATAATACACAGCGCAGTTAAAACTGCATCAGATTTACTTCATGTAGATACTGAAAGAATAATCAACAAAATTTATAGCCATTTTTATATTTACACGGTTCGAGTAAAATATCTGAAAAAGTTTTGTGCTCACGGTAGAGGTAGAATAAAGCGATTACGAGAGATATCCCAAAGAAGATGGCTAACTCTTCTACACGCAGCTAGACGAATGTTAAAATTGTTTAATCCGTAAAATCATATTTTCTTTCAACTAATAAGTGTCCGATTATTTTACAAAATTTCTCCTAGCTTGAAAGTGTTTATTCCCAATAATATGATTTGACACATTTTTAATGTTTAGAACAGATACTTTTGTTACAGATACTCTAATGCACACTTCCCCTCCTCCAATGTACTAGCATCGAAGTCTTATAGTTCGATATCTGAAATTTCTAAATCGACTTTTTTTACTAATTTAAATGGTATTTATTGAAAAAAGAATGTCTCAAAACTCTGAATACTTGGGAAAGAAATAACAGTTTAAAAAAAGTAAAATTATGCAAAACGTACACAAGCAGCTATACAAATTGCTAAAAAGCTTTGATTTTCATTACATAATCGCTATAAGACTGAAATAACGCAAGAGAAAAATTTAAAAAAAATTATCTGAAGAAAGAGGATACTGAGGAAATATTTTTTTACTTTTACTAATATTCATGAGTTTCTTGTTCCTGTTCAGCATGACTTAGCGAAGCTATGTTTTTCCTTTCGAAGCTATGTTTTTCCTTTCGAAGCTAAAATTCGGGTCTATCGTGTAGAACGTAAAAATAGAATCGCCCCTGATCCATGAAATGATTATCTTTCGTCCTGCAAAGTGCTTTGTTTTTGACCGTATTGTTCCTTCTGCATTAAGAATTCATCTTCGTATTATTCTGCTTTTGTGAAGAACTTCTGTATTATTTTGTGAGAAAGTTTTTGTACTCTTCCGATCGTGTTCTTGCGACATCATAATAACATATAAATGAAAGCACTGTACAGTAGAGCAATAGCCTGCATTCATTCCTTTTAAGGCTAGGAGTGGGAAAAACTTTCAATACCCCTCAAATAATATACCTTGTTAATAAAGTTCCCCCTTTCCGATAATCCAAATTGAACTATTTAAGAAAAATCTAAATTTTAGGAAAAAAAAAAAAAAAAAAAATCCAAATGTTCTATATTTATATAACAGCAAATTGCATTTGTCTAACTAAATGATTAATATTATGCAGTAAAAGGCCTAAAAGTAATCTTAAAATGTTTCCTTTTCCCTATATTATGATTTTCCAAGTCATTTCTCAATGTATATGTACAGTTTACATTGAAAAGTATTTTTAACCAAACCAACACAGTTTTCCAACGCAAAGTACTTTGATTAACTTCAAGCAAAATTATTTGAAGATTTATACTTGTAAAATTCCAGTTTTAAAAAATAATATGAAAAATGTTACATCAAAATGTTCCCCGAAAATAAATAGAAAAATTTCCCAGTCATATTTCTACTTATTTGATTTAAAAATTTTAAGATTTATGGTTATTGCGTTAACGACATTTAAATAAATTGTTTTTGCTGAATACAACATTAATTAACTTAATCATGGAAGTCAATTCATTAATTGTTACAGAAAGCATTATTTCAGCAATTTCGACTTCCCCCATACAACTTTAGTTAATTGCTTTTGTCAGTTTTTCATTTCATAATATCTGTGCAGGATTCTTCATTTACGGTATTTGCTCGCGTATTCTCACCCTCAGCTTCTTCACAAGGTTCTGAAAACTTTTAAGAATTTTGTAATTTCCCACTTCCTAAAGAAAGACATTCAGATGCGAGATTTCCTAAATATTAAAAGCGGATTCATCCACGTATTGTTTGTTTTCGTCTTACTAATTGAATTGCTTATGAAATTTGGATGCATTTCGTCTGACTGATCAACCAATAATAGTGAAGATCTTCAAGGAAAGAGATACCTAATGATCTCGGGCCTGAAATTATTGCACATGGAAAGGCAGACTGAATGGAAAGGCAGAGGACGATGCCAATAGTTGAATATGGTTATGACTTGCAAGTTGTGCATTTCCAGTAGCATTAAGTGATTTGAGTCCTAGGGATTAACACTGAGCAACAATAAAAGTTGGCGAGATGCATGATAAGGAAAAGTTGAATATGTTTTTAGTAAATAATATTGTGCGTCTTTCGAAAATTAAATTATTCGCATAATTTTCTACACCTGATTTTCATATGTTAAAATTAATAAAAAAGAGGAGAAAATATACGAGTAAATACGGTAATAATAATTTCATTTTAAGTATCTTTTTTGCAGCATTTCAAAAATATTCTTTCATGCTGGACATTTGTCAGCTTCTTCTGGAATTTCCTTTACTGGTCTTTTAACATGAAAAGCTTCACTTTATTTGCTGTAGCAAAAGCTTCACTTTATTTACTGTAGCAAAAGCTTCATCAGTAGCTTTAAAATATTTAATCGCTGCTTCAAGTTCTTTCTTATTTACTTTCATATAAACAGAATTGTGTGAACAAACTGCATCTCTGCAAATTTCGAATTGCATTGATACATAAATCTGGCAGTGACAGTCTGCCTTTGTCACAAAGATAGATTATTATAGATTGGCAAAGTTTTTCTTTATTTTTTAAAATTTATTTGTTTTTTACTAAGAAATCTCTTTTAGGTTGTGTAGTTGCTAGTGATCACATTAAACAAAAGACGACCTCAGTACCCACAGAAAGAGAAGTGTAAATCTCGGAGAACTAAAGCTATCTTCATTAATATAATTATAAAACAGATGGAATATGTTGACTTCAAATTGTTGTAAAATGTTGTTCTGAAATGACACGATGTGCAGAAGTTTATCTGTGAAATAAGTACTTCTTTATTTAGAAAACATACCTTCCTTGAACACCAGAGCATTGACCTTCGACAGATGCTTCAAATCCATCGGGGTTCATAGACGGCATAATATGAATACGCGTATTATCCATCAGCCATGTCACGTAATCATCTTTTCCATAATTTTTCAAGAGATAGGATGTAAGGTGAAGCATCAGTTCCCGTCCAACAGCCTAGAGAAAATATTAGAAAATGTTTATTACATATAATCATTTGACGATTATCGCAAATTTATTCCTTTTTTAATTACGTTACAAAACGTTGATAACTTATTGTAATATAATGTATGCAGTTTTCATCAGCATTTATATGAGGTACCAAGCTCATTATTGACACTGCGATCTAGCAAAAGGGCAAAATATGTGCAGAAACATCGTGGTCTATAAGATGGTATTACAGAATTAAGGGTTGCATAGCAATGTGAAATTATGAAGAAACTTTACTTCCAAACACCTTTTACACATACAAATGGAATAGAAAGTTATCATACTTAAAACAGATAAAAATGATATTCAGACTACTCCGTTAAACAGATTTAAAGACTACATAAATCATTGAAGTTTTGGTTAGGTTAACAGTTGTAACAGTGTAGTGATAAAAAATTATCCACCGTCTAAGACGACAAAGAAATTGGCCTCATTTTTGGACTTGCGATCATATTACAGGATTTTCGTCAAAGATTTTGCTCAGATAGCAGAGAAACTACTTGAATTTAAAAAGAGAAAAAAAAAAAAAAAGCCAGATTTACTTCGTCGGCAGAAGCAAACATGGCGGTTTGTAAGATTTAAATACCGGTATTAACCCAAGTCGTCTTGAAATTTCCTGAAGTGGACTGTAAATTAGAAACCTTTTCTATCATCGGATTTCGCGGTAGGAGCGATGCTTATGCAAGACAGACCGCCGATTGTACATTTTAGCAAAACACTTAATCCAACACAAAGAAATTATACTGCTACGAGAAGAGAAACATTAGCAATTCCCGTTAGCCGTGAAATAATTTTGTGTTTATTTTGATAAAAAGCAGTTACCGTATATAGGACCACGCGGCTATTGTACGCTTGTATTCGCGGAAGAATTTGTCTCCCAGACTTTTAAAATGGGCTCTTAAATTACAAGAGCAGAGTTTAATAATTAAACATATCCCAGGAAAGAAAATGTTGTAGTGAATTAAACGAGATGATGAGGGGTAAAAAGTGAAATATGCCATGTTAATTTTTAAAATTTTAGATTCACGAGAAACAGTTATTTCAGAAATACAAAGAGACCCGTAATTTAAAAATATTTATGCGTACTTAAAAAGATTCCGATCATTTTGAACACCATGATATGACGGGTATTAGGAACAGGGCTACAAATTACAAAATTTGACAATCTTTTGTTCTACTTCAAAGTCACAAATAATAATAATGAATTGAGACCAGTTTATATCCGCGAGTTTTAAATTAAGTATTTTGAAGGATTTGTATGCTGCGCCAATTTCAGGCCGTCTCGGAATAAGGAAAACAGTCCAATGAGTAAGGGAAACTGCTTATTTTCCACAGCTACAAAAAACTGAGACTCAATACAGCGCTTTAAGAGCGCTGATATGCCACTGTCAGTCAGTTAACGATATAATTTAACCTGGCCGGGTATCTGACTAGCATAAAAGCTACTTTCCCTAATAAAATAATAGGAATTGACCTATTAGGTACAGTCAAAAGTCGTTAATTCGGACACCCATAAACCGGACCTCAAAGCTACAAACTTTCTGAGCATGCGTCGCGTTCACGCATGCGCACAGGCGTTTACGAGTGCGCGTAAGACCTTTACGGCTGCGAATGTTTTTGCGCATGCGCGTTTAATGTGTAACGGACGGTATAATCTAAGTAAAGATTATTTAATTCAGTTAATGTTGCAGATTGCGTTGTTCCTTAATCTTCGAATTGAATCCGGCTTATTATTTTTTGCGGACTGTTAGAGCAATTTCATAAAAGTAAGCTTGAACTTTCGATTATGTCAAATAGAATTTCCGATATATATTTACTAATATGTAATTTGTATTTACAAAGCGAAAAGTATGTTTGAAAATCCGAAAATCTGTTTATCAATTTCACGCCGCGGATTGGAAGTTGATCTGTCAGCACTATCCTTATCTTCAGGGCAGATATTTTTTATTTTATTGGCTTATAATTCCTACTAAGTGTAGTATTTCATCTCGATGTAGTCCGTCTTTGATATGATTTAAATCAAGTTCCTCGTCATTATAATTCGCTTCCGATAGTGAAGAAAGTGACCCACAGGTTATTGAAAACGAAAACATTTCGATTGACAAATTAGTCGGTATTTTCAACACAGCAATTATAGGACTTGAACAGCGGAACTTTGTAACTAAACAAGAAATTATGTCTCAAAATCGTAAAAAAAAAAAAAAAAAAAAAAAAAAAAAAAACCTTTTATTTAGCGTAGGTATAATGAAACACTCAATCGATTTCGAGGACAGCTAAAGGTCCCTTCTCATCAGGAGAAAGAAATACATAGAAAGAAGAAAATAGGAGAAGGAGTCACAGAAACAGTGGTCCTTATCAGCACTGCACGTGGTTATAACTAGATTTTTAATCAGAGTTGACTTAGCGAGGGGCAAATGCACCTTACGCTCAAAATCTGAACTTCAAATAATGGAAAGCAACCACTGAACGGATTTTTATACCATCTGGTAGTACCAAACGCGAGGAGGTAACGTCATCTATCGGCAAAAACAAGTGAATTAAGATAGTAGAATTTTAAAGGCATTAGGAAGGACTGGATTGGACTTCAAATCATTAACTAAACTTGCTAAATCTTTGTGAATGTGAAAAGCCTCAAGAAAATCCAATTCACCTATGGAAGAAGCCTTTTGGATGATTTTTGCAGACCCAAAATCAAAATTATGGTTAAAAGTCCAACTATGATACGCTATTGAAGACTTGTTAATTTCGCCATTTTTGACATAAGATTCATGTTCCTTGATACGAAACTTCAACGCTCTTTTTGTTTGGCCAATATATCTTAAACCACACTGACACGATATACTATAAATTCCCCAAGAATTCAAGACAGAAACGCAATCCTTTAGAATGGAAGGGTGAATTTTATTAATAGGGGAGAAACCGACTTGAAAATTGAATTTCTGGAGAATCCGTGCAATTTTATAGCTAACAGAAGGATAAAATGAAGAAACCGATTTTAGCACCACTGTGTACCGTAAACCCTTTGCAGTTTGTTTGCCACCCCATGCCATGTCATGCCACCCTGTTAAGCAAAAAATGGCTTCTTTTTACTATTATGTATTCCGCGCGCTTAAAATTTGTTCCTCTGAATCTTTGCTTACCAATGAGCTTAATTATTTGAGAGCAGTTGCGATTGACCGTGGATTTTCTCCCGTGATTATTGATAAAGCCGTTAAAAAATTTTCAGATTCCCATCAAAGAAGACATTCCACTGTTAGAAATAATATTAATGACCTTGTCGTGCTTCCATTTTATCCTTCTGTTAGCTATAAAATTGCACGGATTCTCCAGAAATTCAATTTCAAGTCGGTTTCTCCCCTATTAATAAAATTCACCCTTCCATTCTAAAAGATTGCGTTTCTGTCTTGAATTCTTGGGGAATTTATAGTATATCGTGTCAGTGTGGTTTAAGATATATTGGCGAAACAAAAAGAGCGTTGAAGTTTCGTATCAAGGAAACATGAATCTTATGTCAAAAAAGGCGAAAATTAAACAAGTCTTCAATAGCGTATCATAGTTGTGAACTTTTAACCATAATTTTGATTTTGGGTCTGCAAAAATCATCCAAAAGGCTTTTCCATAGGTGAATTGGATTTTCTTGAGGCTTTTCACATTCACAAAGATTTAGCAAGTTTAGTTAATGATTTGAAGTCCAATCCAGTCCTTCCTAATGCCTTTAAAATTCTATTATCTTAATTCACTTGTTTTTGCCGATAGATGGCGTTACCTCCTCGCGTTTGGTACTACCAGATGGTATAAAAATCCGTTCAGTGGTTGCTTTCCATTATTTGAAGTTCAGGTTTTGAGCGTAAGGTGCATTTACCCCTCGCCAGTGCAACTCTGATTAAAAATCTAGTTATAACCACGTGCAGTGCTGATAAGGACCACGTGTTTCTGTGACTCCTTCTCCTATTTTCTTCTTTCTATGTATTTCTTTCTCCTGATGAAGAGGGACCTTTAGCTGCCCTCGAAATCGATTGAGTGTTTCATTATACCTACGCTAAATACAAGTTTTTTTTTTGTTACCATTTTGATTGTCACATTAGCGTGTTTCTCTTCTAGTCTAAATTATGTCTGTTTAATAGAATTAAAGAGAAAGTATTATCACATGAAATGAAGCAACTTACATTGAAAGAAATGTTTAATAAAGTAAACAAAAAAATAAAGCTTTTTCTTTTTGTAAAATTTGATACCCTTTAGATCATAATTGTTCTTTATTTCATAAATTACGGTTTCATATTTTTAATTTTGTAATTTCTGCATGCCATCTTACCTGATTTAAACTGATGATCTATAATCCGGAAAAATCGATAATTCGGAATCGCCGAAGTCCCGAAGAGTCCGGATTAACGACTTTTGACTGTATCTACATACGTAGTGAAAAAAAATGAAAATAGATATTTGCTCGTAATCGCTGATCATTTCTCAAAGTGGGTAGAAATAATTCCCTTCAAAAGAGCTGAATTGTTGCAGATTCAGTTTTAAGTAAATTCATGTAAAGTACCAAGCTGCACTTAGAGTTATATCAGAGGAAAGCAATTCGTTAGTTAAACTTTTTATATATGTACAAGTCTTCGCATATAACATTTTAAGATGGTTTCTTATCGACCACAGTGGAATATTTCAGAACGGGGAATAGAAATATAGTAGAATTTATCCACATCTACGTAAGAAATGACTGCATCAATAAACTCTTTTCATTTGATTTGAGAACGACAAAACTTAATAAAACAGAGAACACATCGGCTAAATTAATAACGCCCCGCGATAATTTTTTTCTTCCCTAAAAAGAGGTCTGAAGAATTCCTGATGGCAGACATTGAGAAATTAGTGGATGAGGCAAACAGATATTCGGATATGGCCTGGGCGAAACAACAGTTTTGTTATGACAAGAAAAGGCGGGAAATTGATTTTAAGGTGGCAGATAA